GGGAACCCCCCAAACTGTTTATAAAAAAATATTCCAGGGGCTAGCAGTGGTCATCGTGCACCTCAACACAATTAAACTTCATTGATATTTTTTTCGTACAAGTCAGGAAACTTTGCCAATTTTGTAGCTACCAAATTGGGATGCCCTCCCGGTTGCGTCGTTGCAACTATGCTACAATATTATGTAGAGCGATTGCTGTAACAGCATTGTAGCGATTTTATGGAAACTACCTTTAAGCCACTGACTGTAATATACATACCCCGGTATTCTAAAAACGAACTTCAGTCGTATTTCGAGCTAAAACTTAAAAATTACGTCATTTCGTATTCTTAAAACGAACTTCGACTTGCACTACGACTAAATGACGCAAACCTCGCCTAAAATTATGCCTCCACAGGCCGATTTTTTTAGTCAGCCTAGGGTCAGGCTAAATCGCCGACTTGAAATATTTACCCCAATGAAAACGTGCTTTTTGTAACTTGATAAAGTTAAATGAATAAAAACGATTGTATAAGTAGGTCTCATGTATCTCCACTGTGTTCAAGAAAAGGGACATAACGTTTGGCGTCCAAAATGCGAAATTAGCATGTTTTGCTAGCCACATGCAACAGTTCCTGATTTACACGAAATCCTCTCGCGTTGCGGTCACGTAGATTTACCATAACAACAACAAAAGATGGCAGTTTAATATTCTTCCGCGTTACCGGATCTCTAAAATTTCGTCTGCTATTAAAATTAGCTCTTTTTATTGGTTATTTTGATAGTTGTTGCTTGCCAGTCGTTTCAGTTGAACTACAACTAGGACTTGATTTAGTCGTAGTTAGAACTTCTACTTCGTTGTTTTGAAGTTGAAGTTGCAACTAAGACTAAATGAAGTTCTAGTTCGAAGTTCGATTAAAGTTCGTTTTAAGAATACGGGCGATAGGCCTACTATAAATGAAACGGTAATCAGTCAAACAAATCATGTTTACATACATATATACATATGCCTTATAACTAATAAATTTATTTACGTTATTAACGTGCTGTTTCCATACACAATTTTTGGAAGAGTTACTGGGGATTCTGCTTCATAAATTTATGTTCCTTTTATAATTACCGGTATTGCACGATTTGATTGAATCACTGTGATTACCACGAAAACGATCAAGGTTAATCAACCTTATCGTAACTCAGAATCAATATCACGCCAGATGTAAGCAGATTATTTCATAAAATGCGATTACTGTACTTAGACGGGACCACCCCCCCCCCCCAAACTGTTTATAAAAAAATATTCCAGGGGCTAGCCAATTTTTTAGCTACCAAATCGGGATGCATCGCCGGTTGTCTAGCATTTCCAAGAGCATGCTCACTGTGTTTTTTTATAAATAATTCACGGACGTTATTTGGTAACTGCGCATGCACATTGCTTAGTTCGGAATTCCCATTTCTTCGGAGTAAAAGCATCTCTATGGTAAAAGCTACCGCTACCTACAGCTATTTCCTCTTGAAGGTGCGGCACGAAAATTAGAGACAATACACTAGGCGTTCATGTAGCTAAGCATTTTAACCAAACCAACCATTGTATCTCTAATCTTAAATTTATTTCATTAATAAGTACAGGTTTCAAATCCCTCCCCGACGACAGACGCTGTTGCGAATTAAAATGGATCATTAAATTAAATGGCAAAAATGGAATAAATAAAGTGTCCAAGCAAATGGTGCAATTATTATAAAAAGATTATTATATAAAATTGGTGAAGCACTACAGTACAGTAGACATTGGGGTAACCATGAGGAAGGCATCCAATTTGTCAGCTACAAAATCGGCAAAGTTTCCTGAATGTTAACTTTGTTTGCCCCTGGATTATTAGGCCTACAGTATTTACAGTGTAGGGGTCAACGTCGAAGTACAGCAATCACATTTTCTCAAATAATCTAGCTTATATATCTGGCGTTATGTTGACACTGACTTACGATAAAGTTAACTTACCTTGATTTCTTTCTTGGTAATCACAGTTGTCCAAGCAAATGGTGCAATTATTACAAAAGGATTATTATAAAATTGGTAAAGCAGAAGCAGACATTAGGGTAACTCTAGCCAAAAATAGCACATTTAATAAGGTAAATGAAAGTTTTAGTTTTAAGGCAGGCGTGTTTTACAACAAAAGAAGTTTAATCAACTTTGTTATTGTTATATAATTGTTTTATTTTGCAACGTATTTCTATGCAGGTACTTGAGGTCTGGGGGAAATAAATATGTGACACACTTTAAACCAATTCATCTTACATCTCAGAAACGAATTGTACACTTATTCAGACAAATTAACACACACATTATCACTATTCACATAATTGGCAATCCTTAAAGTTTATAAACAACATAAATTTCAATTCCTTTTATATGTTTATGACACGGTATTAACGGCAAATTTCCTTAAACAATTCCTCAGTATAGTTTCGTATGTTAAGCATTATCACATAACAAGGGCTCAAACATAGTGGAATCTAAATATTCTAAGATTATTAGAGTAATGTGGGACAATTAGACAATCGAGCTAACGATTGGTGACTACTGTTCGATCCCCAAGTAGCAGCGGTTACTGCAAATGCTATATCGATTTGTATCCCCGTCTATACTATATATTTATAGTAGGCCTATGAATATTAGGGTCCATATATGACTTAAAGCTTGTTTCCATACAATTGCTACACTGTCCCAACAGCAGTCGATCTACCTACTGTAGTATAGTTGTCTGAGGCAACCGGAAATGAATCCAGTTGTCTGCAACAAAATCGGAAAAATTATCAGGGAACAGTGAAATTAATTGTAATTTCATTGTTCCCATGGTTGAATCAGGTTCAACTTTTCCGAAATTTAGGAACAAATACCTATCAAGGGAGTTTAACTATGTTGGGGTCCACGAAGCCCAATACTAGCCCCTGGATTATAAATTCATGCGCATTAGGGGGATTCCCCGTCTAAGTACAGCAATCGCATTTTACTAAATAATCCAGCTTATATCTGGCGTGATGTTGACACCCAGTTACGATAAAGTTAACTAACCTTGATTTTTTTCGTGGTAATGTCAGTGGTCCAAATGGTGCAATTATTATAAAAGGAACATACATTAATGACGCAGTATCCACAGTACACGTTGGAGTAAATCTTGCATTAATAACGTAGATAAAAGTATGCAGGTGTGCTCAACAAACTAAGAACTTTATTCCTAATTCATCAGTTTTGTTATTGTTAAATAATTGTTTTATTTTGCCAAATATTTCATATGCATTTGAGGTCTGGAGAAGTACATATATGACATATTTAAAACCAATGCATCTTACTCAGAAAAAAAACCCGTTATCTTGATAGTGAAATTTACGGAGTTGTGAAGTAGTCCACTTGTGATTTGTTTGTTTGGTTTTTTTTTCTCAAATCGTTGTTTTGGGTTTTTTTTTCGATACTTAAGTTTGTGTCTCTTCGTGACGCTTTATAAAACAACTTGAATTTCGGTATTTTTATTTGCTTATGAGAGCATTAACAGAAGATTTCCTTCACTGACAACTCATTTTTTTTATGTTCAACATTATCAAATGACAAGGGCTAAAACAAAGGGGAATCTGACTATTCTAAATAAAAGAGTAGGGCGGGGCAATTCTCTATTGAGTGTTGCGGTGCTGGACAGTGGAGTGAAATTCCAGGATATATTCGACAATTAAAAATTACGGTACCGTATTTTAAAATCAAGGCAATACAGCACATCAATAAGGCGCCTTTGTAAACAGCAATTTATTTAGTCATAAGATTATCTGCAATTAAAGGATATAAAGTAATATTTTTTCCATTTCCATTTCCAAACACTAATAAGCAATTAGTATAGTGGCGTATTATAGTGGAATTATTTATACGAAGGTTAGATCAGGGAATGGCAGAAAAAATTCCTGAAGTGGTGGTGGGAGGTGGGGATCGCACATTCACCTCAGCCTCACCATGATGGGTGAAGCTGAGGTAAAATTCGAGGAAATCTAGATGGCCGGAAATGTCATCACCACATCAACATTATAATCAAATGAAGCGCCAACAAAATATGTCAAATATGATCTTTTATCAGTAACGATAGATCGAATTAAGCTGTCGGCACTTTCCTTTACCATAGAGTCTGTTCAATTTTCTCTAAGACTTTACCTACTTCATGTGCTGAAAACCAATCTTATCTTTACAAGCTTTTTTCTCATACTTCTCTGATTATAATACTGAGACACGCGCAATCGAGTCGTGTATTATTATAGGTAATTCAGATGTTTGTGGGCAGATATTGGTATTTTGCTATAAGAAAAGATTTTTCGTTAAAAATTGGTTATTTATGCAGTTCATTTCAACAGTTTTCAGGCATCTTCTCGACTTAACATTACGGTCGAAAGTGAAGGGCAAACCCTCCCATAAAAATGTGGGGAACGTGTCTGCCCAGTCACACCCCTCCCCTTCCCCCTGATCTGTACCCATGTTTATGTGCATAGTATATTTAGCTGTGCATATGCGGATTCAATTGATTGTATTTGTGAAATATGATATGAAGGTTATATTTTCTTTTCTCCTCTGTGTGTTGTACCCATACCATCAAAATTAATTATTCTGCTCCTTCCTTGGAGCAAAAATCCTAGATCATGTTAGCAAGACTTATAAATACATTTAATTAATTTCAGTGGTGGTGCTGGGATCTATCTCTCCAACCTAGGACAAATAAACGGGGTTCAGCAGCAAAGAACCCAGAAGCTATGATAATATTGATGATTTCAAATTGCATGAGGTATTAAAATTTTTACATTTCGATGTAATTTGTAAATATCTTGCAATTCAGTCTAGGCTACGAACTAGATGTGTATAAAAGAAACTTGAAACTTGATAAATATAAAGTCTATATATATTTTATTATAAATCACACATGAAAATATTTGCTGGAAGTTGATATACTAAAATATTTAATTTTAATATAGAAAAACTTTAAATCATTCCAATAGATAAAGGCCACAAATGATAACTAAATGAATTAAAGGAAAAGTCAAATTAACATAAAATAAAGAATGCTAAACATTTTAAAAAATATTATACTGTAAATCACACTTGTATTATTACTCATTGTGACCTATAATCATAAGAAAATAATAAAAATAACTATATGTAAAAAATAAATCAAGGTTAACCAATGCAAAATGCATCAAATAAAGGAGTCAAATATATAAATGATACAAGCAAGCTAAGAATTTAGAATTTTACATCTTTAAATCTGTTTCTCATTAACCCATTCCTGAGTTTTTCGTTAAACACACTTCTTGTATTTCAGAAAAATCAGTTGAACAACATATCAACAATATTTTTCCCTCTGGAGCTTGACTTTAAAATATAGTTTTTCTTAAAAGATATTTAAAATATGATTTTTCCTAAATCCAGAAATAGCACAAAAATGTCTACAACATGAAGAGATGAGAGGTCAAACAAATGCATGTAGTAGATTTTCTGTTTCAGTATGTGATAGTACATTCTAAATAGTGTCATCTCTTGTTGGAGAAAATATCTTGCACTAGAAGACATAATTTTAATCACTAATCGCAAGTAATTGATGTTTTTAAGTTTACATTAGTAAACTTTCATTGAATCGTTGAAGAGCTGGTGAAGATGTTCCTCTGCTAACAGTCTTGGTGACAGTTTGGTAACACGATGCTGTGGAGTAATAAAAAACACACATGTGACACAATATAATAGAATAAATGAGAATACACAATAAAAACAATAAATAAATATGAAAAATAACTTTAATAGATTTTAAACATAAAACAAGTTACAATCATGTATTCTTATGTCACAGATTAAAACAGTATTGTAAGCTCTGTCAACAGAATGACTTGAAAGGGGTACATGAAAGCAACACAACAACCGATTGATGTCTGAGAGGGCTATATAAATGATGTGTAATAACAGCAACACAACAACGATAATAATAATTAATTAATTACAGGTCTAAATAATGCCCCCTCCAATTAAAGACTACCCACAATTAACGACCACTTTTCTGCAGTCCTAAATTACCAAATGTCTTTTATCTGCATTATACTAATTTTAGAGACCAAAGCTGCTAAAGACCATGGAAACCCCAGTCCCAAAAGTGTTTTAATTGGAGGGAGACCAGTATAATAGAAGTAATAATGTAGTTTAATACCTGAGGCAGTGTTGACTTCACTAGTTCAGGCACATCATCTTTGGTGTATCCCAGAGCAGTCAGTCCATCTTCAATTTCAAGGTCATGCATAAACTGGCGAAGGGCATCAGATAACACCAGGCCTGCATCCTCCCGTTTGCAATTAGTGGTGTCTTTGCCTGTAAAGTGTGGAGTGAGTTTATGCTAACATTTTTTAAGCTACATTCACACATGATCAAATTGTATCGAAATGACAACGAAATGTGATATGCTCTTATTTGGATGTAACATTACACCGTCATGACCATATATGGGCACATCTAATTTATTTGTCACATATAATTTGATAGTGTAGACGTATCATTAGTTTATGTGGATGTTTCATGGGAGGGGGACTGTATTAAAGGCCTTGCTAAAATCTAATGACACTATCAGGTTTTTATAGTCTGACAGACACTGTTTGTTCAGATCATATATTGTTTGACAAACATCCAAGAGTGAATGAGCAGCTTAGCTATGTTAAAATATGTTATGTTTGCTGTATTAAACAACTGTCCTTTGGGGAAAAAAAGAAGCCTCTATTTAGAACCCAAATTATTCTAAATTTTGTATTGAATATCAGCTGTATATATCTGAAAATAAGATCATATAAAATACGTTGACATCAACCCTGAAACAGCCTTATTCAACTTCCTTAGCAATCATTCTCACACAAGCATGTGGTGTAATAATATGTGCTGTACTGTATTTACCCAAGATGTTAGCTGCCTCTATATGTCGCTCTGGGCAAGCTGATGCTGTGTACTGGAACACAGCTGGAGCTGTCATTACAACAGACAGACCATGAGGCTGTGAAAAAAAAACAAATGATCAAAGTAACATTTAAAAAAATGGCAAAAAATAATAAAATAATTACATAAAATGTGACCGGCTCTGTCAAAACCTGCCGTTTGCCACAATTTCTAATTTCGCACAAGCACCCAATACGTTTGAGAATCAGAATTTTGAACATTTTAAGGTTTTTGCATTTTAGAAAAGAATTTATATTGAAGAAAGTTTTTGCAAAATATCAATCGCTAAATCTAACTGAAAAATATATTAAAAATATATTTTAAAAATAAAAATCTTAATAATAAACTACTAATTTGAATTCTTTGGAAGCTGTTTCCTCAAAAACATACATGGCTGATAACCAATGAATTCAATATTCATAATTTTGCTACGAATCAACCAATTTTCATCAAATAAACACTGTTTTAAAGAAGAATTCATACAGAATCAATTTTTAATTTTTCCTACAAATGGCTGGATTTTCAAGAGCTGGTCACAAATATTAAAATACTATCTCTTTTCATCCCAATGAGTTAAGTGATAATGTACAATACTGAACTTACTACCATAGCGTGGTCCACATCATATTGTTTAGCTCTGTAGGTTTTCACCTGACCTGCGACAGCATAAGACATCCCATGACTAGAAAGCAAAAGGAATTAGTATGAAACTGTACAGTGTGGGCTTGACAACAAATGCACCCTCCAAAAACAGCTTGTACAAAAATAAACACCCCCACACCCCCTCCCCCAATAACACTGGAAATATGGTCACTATATCAATATTATTCTTCTACCAACCCCCCCCCCCACACAATATCAAAGGTGTTCACTTAACCTTCCATCAGCCCTCCATTAGAATTATATAAATATAAAGCTTAGAGCTGGATATAAAATAAACACAGTTCTACCAAAACTATTCATTTGCACACATGAATATTCAAAAGAAATAATAATTAGTATTCGTACCATAGATGTACTCCAGCGTTTCCAAAGCCAATGCCAGCAAACACACTTGCCAAGTGCATGTTGGATCTTGCTTCGAAGTCATCAGGGTCCTGCACCGCTCTAAATAAATAATTCAATTTATGTATATTTAAATAAACCAGTAATGTGTTACAGTTTCCTTAATGAAGGTTGTCAAGTGCGCTCATTTATATGTTATGGGATTCCACCAGGATCTCAAATTCCTGTACAGAGGTGATATGGCTCATTCATAAACCATTAAATGTAGTAAATAACTGAAGGTAATACACAAGCGCTTAAATTAACCATGATTCAAGTTACATTCAAGATTTAAACTAAATTTTCCCACAAACAAAATAAATTCATTTGTATATACAGAGACATTAATTATAAAAAAAAATCAATGAAATATAGAATAGAAACATCCAAGTTAATTATAAGAAATATAACAGTGAAATAAGCATGAAATAATATTGAATTGAGTAAGTATTACTAATCTAATATTAAATTCTCATTAAATTATATCATTTACCTTCTAAAATATTTCTTAATTATCCGTAATGCATGGAGGGACCATATATCACTGATGGGGTTGCTGCCCTGGTAGGCTGGTCTCTGTATGGGGTCCATTGGCCTCGGCGTACGCTCCTGATACGGGATGGCTGTATACGACTCCAGAGCATGACTGTATAAAATGAAATTCATATCAATTTAAACCAGGAGTTTTAAATTACAAAATTCTGCATTTTATAATAATAGTAATTATTGATTGAATAGTTTCATCTGGTTTGCACATAACCTGACAAGTCATATTAATAGACAAAATCTCACAGTAAGTTTACATCAAATTGTGCTGGGTTTATTATCAATTAAACAGTGATGTTGGGCATTTGTAAAAAAATGCTGAGCATTAAAAATAAAAACTTTGACTCAGACACAGCTTTAAGTAGGCTGAATTGCTCACAGATTTTAATAATAATAATAATAATAGTATAGTTTTACATAGCGCATATATCCATCTAATGTAAGATGCTCAGGGCGTTTGATATGTGGACTAGGAACTCGATCAATGACTTTCTTCGCCCCTAAGGGTTCCTTCGTGTCTGTGCTACCCGGTAACATGGTACCAGCAACTCTCGTCGTCCACCACTTTGACTCATTCAACAACTTTCTTCTCCCCTATGGGTCACATCATGTCTGATCAACCCCTCAGAGGTCCACTTTTGTCTTTCCAATATGGGAGGTGCAGCTAAAGTATGTATAGAGCTTATGAATATAAATAAATCTCGCATTACCATAAGACGTCAAATCCGCTGTAAGCAGCTACTCTGTTTGGCATGTATCTGCAGTGAAGGGGATCTACTATGCCCAGTAGTGGACGAATAGCACGGCTACCAATACCTGCAAATAAAGCAAAACATAGTCAACAGCACATCACACTGGTTATACAGTTTAGATATACATTTATTAATCTTTCTGTCAGAACTGTTTCTTTTCAATATACTTTCTCACCATGATACCACTTCACTCTGATTGAATAATTGCCTCATTTAAATAATTGCATATTAATTAAGATCTCTGGTAACTGATACTGTTCATAGTTTGTATCTTTGTATTATATGTATTATTCCTGATGATGCTTAAATAAAAGCAAAACTTTGAATAAAATGGCCTTGTCAATTTTTGGAGTGACATTCATACTATTTGTACTTAAACTAAGTGCACAAAAAATTCAAACTCCTTACAGAAATTATTACTTGCCTTTACTGTTCTGGATGTATTTTTCATTAGTTCAATGTAAAGCTCTGCCCAGATTATATTTTCTTTGACAAAAAACTGTTGTATGCCCATATATAGTCATGATGTGCCTATATATAGTCATGATGTGATGTCATCATGACCATATTTGGGCATGTCACTTGTTTTTGTCAAATAAAATTTGATAGTCTTGACAGGGCTTAAGAGTAATATTATGTGACATATGCTTTTTGTCTACATTAACTTATTATTTATTATTATTGCTTTTATAACATTTTAAAACTTTACACTACAATCACACAATTACAGTAACATCTCCCAATTACGTTCCAAACAGGGTTCATAAATGAGAAAACTCGTAATTCAGAGAGTTCACATTTTCAGCATCTCAATTTAGTGAGGTTAGGCCTAGGCCATGCTGCAATGTACAGGGCTTGAATTACCTGTGATCAAACTGAAGTATCCATGTGAAGTGATTTACGAATGAAAACATGATCATAAAATGCACAAAACGAGTGTTATTATTCATGCGAATAGCGCCCCATAATCAAAAAGTGAGATTTACTATACAGTATGCCACAAGCGTGCACAGCTCAAATGCAACTCGGCTGAAAACTATTGATATTTCTTGCTTTAAAATTAGTTTTACATCACTTTATTGGTTTGAATGTTTTCTTTCTTAGATGAAAGAATTTTTAAATACATTTTAAGTGTTTTGTAGTTAAAAAAGATCGCTCATAATGACGTCATACCGTAAATTCGGTTCGTAAAATTGAGATATTTGTAACTGGGGGTTTGTCATTGGGAGATGTTACTGTAAATAAAAAGTTAAGCATTGAGTTTATGTCAAGTTTATGTTAAATTTATATATACTCCCTTAGAGCAACTGAATAGTAGTAAGATTGTGTTGGGTTTAAATCTTGATGATGTTATCTTTTTCCATTTTATTTAAAATTGCTAACAATATCACTGTATTAATATTTATTTATTTTTTAAATTCCTTACCTGTTTTAGCTTTCAACTCTGTATGGTCGAAGATTGCAACCCCAGTTGTTTCACTACCAGTACCAGATGTTGTTGGAACTAATAAAAAATAACCATCATCAGTTTGTATCTTTTTCGTCTAATTACTTGGAAAGATGAAGGAAGATGATTTTCAATGAAAAAGGATGATAATGAATACCAACTTGCCCATTCACAATAAGTAACCAGGGTGAAGTGAAATCCTACTGGTACCACAATAGGTCATCGTTCAGCTAAATATTCAAGGGCACATGTGGGGTGATCTGGAAGTTCAGCCTCCAATTAGAGGCATAGCTGTGTGTTTAAAAGGTGATTACAGCGCACCATTTAAATCGAGACCACTCTAACTCCGAGAACCCTCTAATTTGAGACCAATTTTCCAAAGACCCAAATAACAATCAATCTTTTAACACAAAGCTAAACCTTAAATTGGATACTGAGTGGAAGTCTCAAAAGTGGTCTTAAAATGGAAGACAGACTGTAGTTGGAACTTAGGAAAAGTGGTATTGAATTAAAGGGGTCTCTGGAGGGCGAACTGATATACAGTTGGCCTTCCAATTAGAGACTACTTTGGGACCTGGAAATTTAGGGTGGTCTCAGGGTTGAAAGATTGATGATTGTTATTTTGTTCATCATTAAAAAAGTGGTCTCAAATTAGAAAGGTTTGGAATTAGTGGGGTGTTGAATTGGAGGGTGCCCTGTATGATAACACACCTGCAATCAACGGCTTCACAGTGCCTGTCACAGGCTTTCCTTTCCCTATTGGAGCATTCACAAAGTCCAGGAAGTCAGCATCAGGGTTACTGGCATATAGGTTTGCCGCTTTACAAGTGTCCATTACAGAACCACCACCAACAGCAAGATACGCATCAAAATTACCATTCTTGGCAAATGTGATAGCTTGCTTGAAACTGAAAGTTATTGAACAGAATCCACAATTTGTAAGAAGTATTGTACCTGTATAGATATTTTTTAATATTTAAAAAATTGATGTGGCATATGGTGAAATGTTGTCCTGTAAAAGTGATATCGTAAATATTTTGTCCTAAACTTTACAATTTCTTTAATACAAAAACTTCCACTAAAGAGTAATCAGTCTATATAATAATAAATTAATTAGGTAAGGTTTGAACTGTATAGAGGGCAGTATTATAGTAAGTTTCAATGTATTTTGGCTATATTTATTTTTTTAAAACTCAGTGAAGTCTCTTTTCATGAGTGAACACATTCAGATTGTTACTACAGTATGTCAGTCCAACTTTCAAGCAATAGGCCTACTAAAAATTGACATTTCTGTTACTGTATTTATTCAAATTAATGCCCCACTTTCAATAAATACCCCTCTTGAATATAAACCCCCTTCTGATTCTCATTTGAAATATACGCCTCCATCAATTGAGCGCCTCAAGCATTAATTTTTTCTTCAATAATCTTTTTTACTTTGAATAAACGCCATCTAAATGACTGTAAACAAAACTAATGGAAGCAACATTATTCTGAACACATTTTATTAATGTTCTACTCCAGTAGAAGTACATTTTTTTCTAACCTGGTTGGGATCAATTATGTTTACGATCACACAATAACACATTTTGATGGTAATTATGTATTGTAGTTTCAGATTTACAGTCAAATTAAGGGGCGTATATTTGTGTATACGTATCCACTATACACCAAAAAAATAAACACCTTCCTCGATTAAACGCCTGTCTCGATAAAATTCCCCCTCAAAAACCCTTCTCAACTATAAACGGCTAGGGGCGTTTATTCAAATAAATATGGTACACTTATTATTCATTTTCATGATTGGTAGTCATTATAAATATAATTTCACCTGATATCTGTTGGCTCAATTCTGATATCATCAAACACTTGAAAGTTCAGCTTTTGTTTCTGGAGTGAGTCTAGCACAGTTTGCATAGGTGGAAGTTTTGCAAGCTAAGTAAAACATGGAGTTGTTATTGAGAATACCTGAATTAGCTCTGCCCACTCCAAAGCATACAATCAGGTAAAAAACAAAACTATCGGATCAAAATATAAAAAAAAAAACACAGTTTGCATTCTGTCCCAATGGATGTGTTGATCATTTCCATCATAAAGCAAATACCAAACATAAATAATAACCCACATACAAGATTTTGAAGTCTTGTTTTTAAAAATAGCCATTTAAATAAAATGTTAAACGTTAAAACAGATTAATTGATCAAGGAATAATTGAGGACTATAAATACGTAATTTTATTGTGGACGTGTAACTCCGGTTCTCCGACATTTGATCCATTGATGGACAGCCCAAGAACGATGCTCAGTTCACTGTTTATGCCTGTTGAGCTGAGTTTATTACTGATATACATGGAAATTCCAGCAGCACATAGGGATGAAAACAAATCATATAAACTTACATTTTTATCAGTGATGACACAAATATTCTTGGCACCAAGGTTCTTAAAGTCCTAAAAAGAAAAGAAAATTGCTTAAAAAATAATAGGGGATGTGAGATGGACCAATACACTGGGGTTTAACTCTTGAAGTATGTACTGGCTTCATTATAGTGCACATAAGCCAATTGTACACAATGGGCCTACCGTTTGAGCTTATCCGAAAAGACTTGTTCCACCACCAGAAACATAGACAAGAATGCTGCTCGAACCAGCGATATTGTGGCTGTTGGTTGCGGCACACCTGCCTTAACTGCTCGGCTATTTCACTCTCCATATCTAGTCTTCAATCATTGAAATTACTCACCATTCCAACCTCTTGTGTTACTCCTTCACCATAACGGATATTTGAACAAGCCATCTGAAAAAGGGGAGAAGAATAGCGAAAGATTTGAACAGCAGTGGATCTATATACTTTTTTAAAAAAAGGGTCACAATTATTTAGCATTTTGTGTTTACCAGTTATCATTGGTCTAGTTTCAAACTAACTTGCAATTGTGTTAATAGCTAGCCAATATTTTTTTCCGGAGGAAAAAAATTTTTTGATATGTTGTAGAACTGATTTTTCTAAGACAGAAAAAAGTTGTTTGATGAAAAACTGGGGAACGGTGAATGAGATACAGATTTTTTAATATTTAAAAACTGGGAGAAAAAAAAGGGGCGTAACCGCCCATTTTTACACCTTATTCCCCCAGTTTTTAAATATTTAAAAATCTGTATCTCATTCACTGTTTCCCAGTTTTTCGTCAAACAACTTTTTTTCTGTCTTAGAAAAATCAGTTCTACAACATATCAAAACATTTTTTCCTCCGGAGCCTGACTTTAAACTCTCTGAATATGATCAAAATTTTCTTTGACGAAAAATGTTGTATGCCCATATTTAGTCATGATGTGCATATATATGGTCATTATGTGATGTCATTATGACCATATTTAGATATGTCACATGTTTTTTTTTTTCAAATAAAATTTGATAGTCTGGACAGAGTTTTAGGGAATGATCTCAAGCGTAAGCATAAAGTACACTTTTATAAAAACAAAACACATCACATTTGAAAGGTAGAAGGGTAAGAAACCCCCTCTAACTTCATTTCTACTGCTAGAATTTTCCTGGTTTTTAATATTACAGTACCTCAAAGGCATACTCTTTAGCAGTTGGTTGTGTGGAGCAATCCATTCTCTGTAAAGGGGCAGAGAATGCTTGAGAATGTGCAGGGCAGCGACATCTATGGAGAAATTACAATAATAAATTAAAATACTTAAAATACTAAATTAAAAAATAAATGAATATCACAACATAAAGAAACAAAATTAATCCATTAAAAGAACATATCTTGATTCAGTGAATTATCCAACAAATGCTTTATCCACTAGATTTAAGTCATTATTTTTTAGTTTTTATTATTTCAAGACCTTGTGAAGGTTATCACCAACCATAAAAATAAGCAGTTCCTTCCTCAAGTCACCTAGTGATGGGTCTAATGTGCTAGATTGGCAGGTGCTTTGAAACAATGATTTGGTGACCCCTTGGAGAATTTGCATTTTTTTTTTTGTTAAGCTGATGATGCTAGCTCAAGTGCGAAAAATTGTGTCTCAATAAATTTGTTAGTCAAAAGAAGTTCTACTGTACTTGTTTTCAAGTTTGTATTTCATGTTACCCAACTAAGTATTATGGCTGAACTTTTATCATTTTTGTTGTTCAGATTCTCTTTTTTTTTACTTTCTGTGAGGAACATAGAAGCTTTTAGCATTTCGGCTATGTAAGTGTGACTTTATTATTATAATTATTAATATTATTTTTAAATTGATAATTTTTGTTTTATAGAAGCTATCATAAGCTTAATATCACATTCTACCAATTTTCCTATGAAGTCAAAAAATTGTTTCTAAATTATCATTTAGACTTTAGCTGTTGTAGGCACACCAGTCAATGCCACAGGATATTTTTCGAGATCCTGGTCCTGAAGCTTCATTAGTGTACTCCGGGCCCTAAACTACTAGCCTATAAACTAAGCCTAAAATAAGATTAGAAAAGTTTGATTGAAAAGCCATGGCAGGCCCATCCATGTGCTGTATTGCTGTACCGGTTAGCGGTTGTCAGTATACTCGCAACTTTCACTTAAGTCTTACCCTGCACTAGCTAGGATTTTCATAAGGCTTTGAACTGATTGCCTAGTTGAACCCATTTTCACTTAGCTTTGTAAAAATACTGGGCAGCGAAAATACTGTTGCTTATAAACCAATTTCCTTCTAGTCAGCCAAGGCTAGGCCTACGTGATCAACCACCGTTTTCCTCTCCCTCAACAACCTGCACTTCTCTAAATGTAAACAATCAATCATCGTGGTGTTGGTGCTCAAATAATTTTTAACGGCCTGACTCGGTCTGCATGCAATGATCGTAATTTGAGTAACGTGCTTGACAATGTTCCATCCAGGGCAGCCTCGATTTCTCTCTACACGTCACACGCGCCTGTGTACCATGAACTAAGTCACTCGAGTCACGTAAGACGGTGACTTTTGAAAGTAATTGAACAGAAAATTGTTTTCACAAGACCACTTTTGGAAGTGAAATTGAATTAAATACTTGATGTTTACAATAAATGAAGAATACTTTTAGAAATAATCCGTATTTTATTTAATTATAATATTAAATAACCTATATAAAATTAATTAATATTAACAAAAAAAAGATATCGGATTCATTCCAGTGGCAGATCCAGGAATAATTCGAATAGAGGGACCCAGAAAGACAATTAGATGGAGGGTCAACCTTACAGCGGGCCTCACAGCCATGGGCGTGGAGCAGTGGCGTAACCAATGGTGGGGGGGTGGGGGGGGGGGGAGGGGAAGTTCCCCAGATTTTGGCCTTCCCCCACTGGCCCCGACTTTCCTCCCACTGAGGTGGCTAATGAGGTTCATTGACATTTCTACATGTCGATGATTGCTCAAATTCGGTTCAACCAGTTCGCATCGTACTGTAGTTTTGACTATACTTCGGGCGACTTCCATTCCACCGAGAAATGTTCGCTTCGCTGTTGTTCTTCTAAAATCACTCAAATGGGTGTTTAATTCATATTGTGTAGTTTTAGTTTACAGTACAATAGGCCTATACATATTGGCAATCACAGACATTTATACAAACTCACAATATTCTCTACACACTTTTCTTGGTGCAACACATGGTTAAAGTACAATCCGTTTCCTGTTATTCATGTTTCTAATATTTAACTGTAATTCGTAACACATTACATTAATTTCATCATGGTTTAAAACGGTTCTGTATAATGAATAAACTGCTATAAAATAATACGATGTTCATTTTCATTCTTTAATTCCATAAAAATTTCACTTAATTTATACATTCAAGAGTAACGGACTGAGGTCACGTAAGATAGCCATTTATATCGTAAGATTTTTCCTTGGCCGGGGCCCTACGCGGCCCCCTGGCCCCCATTTGGTTCCTCACTTTGATCAGAACACTTTTACCCTCACATAATATCACAGACCCACACTGCCCCCCACCACCCCCCTACAGAAATTTTTCAGCTACGCCACTGGATGAGAGGTCCGAAATATCTATGGCATTTCTAGATGGCCAGAAATCGCACTCAGACTTACAATTTTCTTGAATGTAATTTTCTTTCACTTACTTTTTATTAAATTTTTTAAAAATTAGAGGGGGATGGGGTTGTCGGGCCAGCTGCCTCCCCACCCCTGAATCTCCACATGTATTCATCCTTAATTTCGTACAGCTCTTAGCAGTGGTATATCTCTGTGGAGAAGGGGGTGGGTGCACGCTCATTCATCGTTAGATGCATGGCTGGACATTGAGTTCTAAATTATTACATTTATTTGATTGAATAAAATATCTTGTTGGTCGCGCCGTCATCCTGACATTGGTAACATGTTAAATAATAATGTAAAAAGACTTGTGGCAAGTCTAGCAAATACTTCATGTGCATCATGAACACAAAATACTATACATTTTTTATGACACCTGCATTATTCATTTATTCTTCCAAATAAACGAATACGCTCCCTCTTTATGTTATTTTATCATCTGGTAGGCCTACAGTAACTCCTCTTCTTCATTTTTTTTTTTCCTTTTATTACAGTGTTTAAGATTTAATTTTGTATATTTCTAAAGTAAACAATCGTATTTCTAGTTACTGAATTTTCCAAGATGCGTTTCAAACTCACTACCTTTGGTTCATTAGAACACATTGCTTACCAACCGCGCCGTCTATACCGTATGTCTATCAGCCGTGTACTTCTAGAGCTCCTCATAATAAGAGAGAATTTTTCAAATAATTAGATTAAATAATTTTTACAAAATTAAATGTCTTTAAAAAAAATTAACAATTGAATACAAGACGTGATTCAAACTCACAGCCTTTGGTTCCTTAGAACCATCGCATTGAACCCTGCATAGATTGCATGGTTAAACAGACCGCTAAAACCTACTCAGTCGTAAAAACGCACAGTCACTATCAGTAAAAAAGCACACAATCAGCAAAAAAGCACACAATCACATGGGTACTCCTAGAGCTCCTCATTGGAGCTAAAACAACATATCTAATGAAAAAAAAAACTGTCGCATGGACGGCGGTTAAATCGACCGAGCCATCCATATTTGCATAAAAGTGGTAATAGCAGTAATTTACAGTCAGCTGTGAAAAAAAGCACACAATCAGCAGGGTAATCCATGAGCTCCTCATCGGAACTAAAAATAAGAACAACTCGTAAAGATCATAGACAACATACTTGTATTTAATTCCTCAGACAAAATAAGGCAAATTAAGTATAATTCTAATTGTTTCTAGACAGTCTTCCATTCAGGGCCGCATTGAATGATACAATGGTTATTTCAAAAGAAAATGCCTTGATTTTGAAATTACAAAATTATCTTGACTTTGCATTTACTGGTACTGTACATAAAATTATATACTACATTGTAATGTATTATCACTGATACCCCATCTGAATGTTATTTATATAAACAAATAACTTATGAAATAATTATGCTAAAGTTAATATTCATTTTTAACTTGTAAAGTATATATTAATGTAGGCCTACGTAATGCAATTATTCTCAATATTCTTCCACTACTGGCAATAAACAGATCTTAAATATTTGATAACAAACCTCATTTTGTTAAAATCTAAACATACAGTTAACAGAACATTATTGATGATATTGATCATTATAGATGATTATAAAGAAAAATCAAAATTAGTGAATTTACAGATTTGACTTGCCAATTAACATATAGCCCTTAAAAAATAATTCTCAATATAAAAGTATTTTTAATAAAAAATTAAAATTATATATTCACCATAACACCCATATACTGTATTAATATTTTGATTCTTTATTCTTTGATACTAAATATTATTAAAACTAAACATATAAAACACAAAACAATGTTATAAAACAAAACAAATCTTGC